TGAGAATCAACCCCCCGGGCTGTGCCACTGACTGAAGTGTCTTTAGGCCATTCCCATTTCTCGTTCAAACATAGTAGAATTGTAAATGGGCTGATTCATGTCACGCTCATAACTGTGCCTGATCTACAACAGGGAACTGCTGTTTTTTCTTTCCTGATTCTTACTGTTGTCATTTTCCTCTACTTCTTTTGTATGTTTGTCACTCCCTTGTGACCCGCTATTTTGGGGTGCCTTGATAGTTGAAGCAGACTTTGTGCTGTTGAACCTAGAGAGGTGAGCAGTCTTAGTCTGAATCCCTGTAAAGACTTCTCTGTTGACACCCACCCCTTGGTGCTCATATGACCTTATGCAGTTGCGAGCGCCGTAAAATCCTCTACTATAAAAAAAAAAGAAAAAAAAAATGAGAATCACAAATAAATGGATTCTCAGCAGAGTCAAAATGAGAATCACAAATAAATGGATTCTCAGCAGAGTCAAAGTGACCCTCAAGTTTTTCAGTAAGTTTTTCCTTTTATCCTTACAGGTGAGGATTGCTTCCGTCTCGGTGAGAGTAGAGAGAGGTGGCGTGGAGTTTACGGGTACGTTCCTGTGTTCTATAAACTTTGACTGACCATGGTACATTATCATGCCCTATCAATCAAATAGCCCTCAGAGCTTATATTAGTGTAGGATAGAGCGTGTATGAATGCAATCTATTATTATTGTTATAATTATAATTATAATAATAATAATAATAATTATTATTATTATTATTTTTATTATTATTATATATTATTATCATTGTTATTATTATTAAATGTGTGTGTACCTGGTAAAAGGCCCCAGGAGTTGTTGGAAATGTTTGATACTTAAATAAGGGCATATTTTTCCTGTAGCAAATTCAGTGCTGAACGTGCTGATAAAATTTTTTTTTCAATATATCTTGAGTAGTTTTAAAGATATGCCACTTTCTTGTAGCATAAGGTGTAAAAAGAAAGTTTTGGAGAAAAACCCAATTTCTGGCTCATTTTTAGCCTTTGGTGAAGTGCATCATGTTGCAAAAATCGCTACTGACTGTAATAGAAAATACATGTATTTAGACTTAAAATATTATAAAATTATTTTATAATGTTATTAAGAAATGGTTAAACATGTGTTTAGCTAGCATGGTGCTGAGAGAAAAGTAAAGGATTTACCAGTATTAACAAGCACCTGTAATAATCACAAATGCCTTGACTCACAGAAGCAGCACCAGTCTGTTGACTGGTTATGATTATAAAACCCATTGCACTATTGCAACCTCCCGGTTATGGCTTTCCTATTTATTATTATCCTTTTGAAGCTTCAGTCTGTCCTTCATGCTTTTTAAAAGTATTTTTTTAGAAATTTGCATTTATTCAAAGACAAAAAACCCAACATTTTTCCAAAGCATAATTCAAGAGTTTAGGTGTGAACTGTGGCGTGAACGAATACACAAAGACATTTTTAATATGGGGTAATAATATAGATTGTAAAGCGCTTTGAGCTTGCTGTTGAGTGGGAATTTGCGTTATACAAATGCTGTGTATTATTAATAACATGTATACTTTCTTATAACCCTTGCTTTATCTCTCTCCTTATTTCTGTTTCTCTCTCTGAACATGATATGTGGAGCAGAGTTGTGCGTCTAGTCGAACGGATCATCCGACATGGGTGAAGCAGACGAGAAAGTTCTGTCTTTGTGCGAAGAATTCTGGCAATGGAGGCTGGCTGACGACCCGGAAATTGCCTCCTTTATCGGGTTCTCAGAATTTGCTGACAGATGGCAGGACATTAGCGAGAAAGCTTACCTCGAGAGAGAGGTAGGTACAAAGAGTTCTTTTTATATATATATAATAGGCAGAAAACTATGAATAAGTTTTGCTTTTGTTTGGGTTTATTTTTGTTTGTTTTTTGTTTGTTTTAGAATTAAAAGTGGGAAGTGAGTAGCCAACATCTGTGGTGTAGTGGTGGAATGCTTCACTGTTGCACGCAGGAGACCTGAGTTCAATTCCTGAGTGGGGAGTAGTTTTTATCGAATATCTCGACAGTCTTTCTGCTGGGATGTTGTATCCCTCTCAGCCCAAGTTGGCCCTGATAAGCAGGGTCAGAATCCTATCTCCTGAATTATCTATTTGTCAATGTGGATGTAAAACTAGTAAAAGTACTGACATTTAAAAAAAAAATAATTAAAAATGAGGTTAAGCGAGTGTAGTGTACATGGGGAAAATTAGAAAGCTACCGTACTGAAAACTAAACTGTTGTAGATTGTTGCTTTTCCTACAATGTCTAATTCTGTCTTACAGTATTTAATAAGTTTTATGATTTGGCTTTACCTCTTTTATCTCCGACAAGCCCCTCCCAGTGGCTCGTGGTCGGACGGAACTGCTGTGCTGGTGAGTCGCTGGCAGCGGCTCGGGCACATTCCTTTACAACGACTTTGACGTCAAAATACTTTTTGGCAATTCCTGAAAACAGGACTCTTTTATAGGGAGATCATTCATTAGATAAAGAACTATTAAAATGGGTTGACTTGTTTTAATTTAATGACCCATTTCGTGACGTTTTTGTCATTTTGAAATTTAGTAGGTACCAAAAAAGGGCCCCGCCGTAATGGATTTGCCCCCCCCACGGAGATAAAAAAGAGTTCGAATTTTAGAACCTTGGACCTTGGGGGCTGAAATCTTTTTTTTGTGCTGTCAAAAAAGTCCTTAAAAACTCCTATTGCTAACAGTATTTTGTCACGTTTTGTTTTTCTTAAATCAGGAACGCATCAAAGAATTCTACACCAAGGCAGTGGCCATAGACAGCAGTCACTGCAGTCCTGACATTGCTCTTAGCCATCGTTTGTTCGTTGATGATCTTTCCTCCTACCTCAAAGGATCAGCGTTTAAAGGGTAATCAAACAATTGTTGTTGAAAATTTGTACCTAAACTAAATGGATTTTAAGAAAAAGATTTGCATGTACTATTTTTCTGTATTTTCCCAAAGGCTGTTGATTTTATGAAGTTATTGTTTATCCAGTTTATCTCTGAAAGCCTTACAATAATATTTTCTCCCTGCATCGATCTCTGCTGCAAGTACAATATTAACTCTTGTCCTTGTTTTATTCTCTAGTTTGAAAATGGTGAGTCCTACTTCTTTTCTCTTTCTCAGTTGTTTCTGTGTGTCTGTCTTACTTTTTCCCAGTACTAAATGACTAGTAAAGTGAGGATGTGCTTCTCTTTACATAAACCATCTAGTAAAAGGCTACTGTTGGAATAAACATCAATTTGCATTGAAGTTTCGAATATATACATGTATCTACATAACTCTAAAGGTTTTGTGATAAATTCCTGCATGTGGTTGGATGATGCAAATGATGTGATATATGCATTATTCATTTTATTGTCAGCTATACTTTTCCTTTCTTATTGAATTTTAATGAGAGTTATTTATATATAATTTAATTTGTATGTATAGATCTACCTGTGTGTGATTTTACGATCTTGTACAGCCAAGAAAAATTTCCATTTGGGACAATAAAGTATTGTTTCATCTCATCTCATCTTATCTTATCTTGTCTTGTATTGTCTTGTCTTGTCTTGTCTTGTCTTGTCTTGTCTTGTCTTGTCTTGTCTTATCTAAAACAAAAGGTAGGTGTCCTTAATGAGAGGCGAGGTACAGTATCCTTGCTTTGAACTAAAACATTTCTGTTGCATGTCTAGTAAGAAGTTTGACAAGAACAAGTGGGTGGTTGGCGGGTGCTCTGGTGTGGTTTGATTCTTCTTTCCTATCAAACATCTATCGTCTTTATCTCCCCTCCTTCTTTTTTATGTTTGTTACTCTCTTATAACACGTCTAATCTTCTGGTGCTCATATGACTTTATGAGGTTGCGAGCGCCGTAAAACCTCTACTAAAACCAAAAAAACAAGACTAAAACAAAAACCAAATGTCTTTCTCTTACTTGATCCCGGCAGCTACCTAATGCCAATCAACAACATTGACGGAATTCAGTCAGAGGCCAGCATCTTCATCAGCTCTGTAAATTACGACTCCGTGGAAGATTACAAAAAGTACATTTGCAGACTGAAGTCATTACCGTTCAGGGTAAGTTTGAAAAATCTTTTTTCCCATTGGGATTTTCTTGATGTTGACTTTGCCTGCTGTCATAGTGCGATGATGTGGTACAAAAAACAGAACAATAATAGTACCAAGAAAGCAGCTGAAAATGTATCAAATCTTTCTATGCTTTTAGATAATAAACCCTATCTGGTTCATCCCCCCCCCCAAAAAATAAAAAAATTGTAGTGCCAGAACAAATCTCTTTACTGGCCAGGCATGCATGTTATTTCTCCCTTGAGATTCCCTTTAATGCTAAACCTGGCTATGATAAAGATATTTCAGGGACATTCAGATGTGGTGTGTCGTTTTCATATCTGGTGAGGAAAGTGTGGTATAGCCACAGTAAACAGATATTTAAAGAAAAGTATTTTTACATAGTGGAAAAGAGAGAGAGAGAGAGAGAGAGAGAGAGAGAGAGAGAGAGAGAGAGAGAGAGAGAGAGGGGGAGAGGGGGAGGGGAGGAATAAAGGATGGATGGACAGGCAGACAGACAACACTCAAAAAAACACTTCACATTTGTGTTGAAATCAGACGCTTGTCAAAATAATGTAATTGAAGAAGTTGGCATTTTTCGGCCAGTTTGTCAATTTTTATCGAATTTTTGTTCTTTGGCTCAGCACTTTATATGTCTAATAAAAAACATATTTCAGAGTGATTTTTACATAAAAACATTGATTAAAGGCGGCCATTTTCTGGCTAATTTTACCTACGAAACCTGTCGATCTTCACCTCCTTCAATTGCAAATATCTCGACTTATATTAAAGACAGCTGGATATTTCTTTCATCAAAAGCAAGACGAGTGAAAAAGCTTTAAGCTGGTACCAATAACTCTATATATGCCCAAAAATTGAGGAGCACCTGGTTCCTCCGCGTCGTGACACATTTATGTTTTGCTGTTGAGTAGACTTTTTCTGTTTTAATGATGCAAAATAAGAAACAAATTGTTCTTGTTTCGCGTCCCCCTCCCCCTTCCCCCTCCCCCCTTCCCCCTTATCCCACAGATACAACAAGTGGAAGAAACTTTGAAGAGAGGAGTTGCACAAGGGATTGTCCTCTATCCCACTTCACTGGTAAGACAAAGTCCTAAATATAGGCCCTCTGGTAATATTTTACTTGTGACAGGAATGTTTCATTTCCGTGATTTCTCTCAGGTTTTGATATCCTTCAAACTATGATAGGAAAAGAGCCCATTAAAACTTGATCAAATGAGCTGTTTCATGATAACTGGCGAGACATTTGGACTATACTTTCTAACAATGATAACACTGTATTTTAATATCAATTAGATCTAATTTATTTCAACTTTAAAAAATCAGAACATTTGAAAGACATAAATAGAATCCTATTAAATGCAGTCATTTGAAAAAAAAAGTAGGTTCTGCTTAATGAAAATTTTGTGGTGTGTTTAGTTTCGGTAACTAACGGACAGAAAAAAACCCTCATTTGTCCCATCAGTTATTGAAGCTAAACAAGTCACAGAATTTGCATTCAGTGGCCTACTTTTTTTTCAAATGACTGCCTTTAATATGATTCTTAATCTGTGAAGTGTGCTTACAAAATGAGTTTTTTCTCAGATTTGAGCCCTATGGAAATAGATACACTTATGGGTGAAGTTTTTACAATATATAAGTATGAAGTACTAAAAGGCATGTTATACTTAAAGAATATGGCATCTATAGAAGATCTACAAATTTGACCCTTGTGTCGATTTTTTGGCTAACCTCTCCACTTGTGGATAGCGAGAAGTAACTCGTTTTGTCAGCTCGCCTCACATATGTCTTTCAAATGTTCTGATCTTTTGTTCAGTTTTATCTTCAGTCTCTTACTGACTTCAATTTTCTTATTCTTACCTTAACTGCATTATGATGACGTCATAATATATGTCACTGAAAGCTTTCTCTGCTGTTACTAAGAAAAGACAGAAAGAAACATTTGCTTTGAGTTCTATTCTCAGTTTGACACACTTGTTTTGTGTTCTATTGTCAGTTTGACAAACTTGTTTTGTGTTCTATTGTCAGTTTGACACACTTGTTTTGTGTTATACTGTCAGTTTGACACACTAGCTTTGTGTTCTATTGTCAGTTTGACACACTAGTTTTGTGTTCTATTGTCAGTTTGACAAACCTGCTTTGTTTTCTATTGTCAGTTTGACACACTAGTTTTGTGTTCTATTGTCAGTTTGACAAACCTAATTTGTTTTCTATTGACAGTTTGACACACTAGCTTTGTGTTCTATTGTCAGTTTGACACACTAGTTTTGTGTTCTATTGTCAGTTTGACAAACCTGCTTTGTTTTCTATTGACAGTTTGACACACTAGCTTTGTGTTCTATTGTCAGTTTGACACACTAGCTTTGTGTTCTATTGACAGTATGACACATTTACTTTGTTTTCTGTCGACAGAATGACACCTTCGCGTTGTTTTTTGTTGACAGAAGGATGCCTTCGCATTGTTTTCTGCCCTTGTTTTATTTAATGTTGAAACAAAACGACATGCTCTCTATGCTTTTTTTAATGGATAGAATGTCAGGCCCACTGTGTTTTCTGTGGACAGGGTAATGGGTTAATTACATTTTTTTTTGGACACATTAATGAACGCAATATTTTTTTGTGGACAGAATAATGGACTCATTATATATTTTTTGTGGACAGAATAATGGGCTCATTTTATTTTTTGTGGACAGAATAATGGACTCATTTTTATATTTTGGGGGACAGAATAATTTAAACTATATTTTTTGGTGGACTGCATAATGGGCTCATTTTTATATTTTGTACACACAATAACTCATTTTATTTTTTTGTCCACAAAATGAAGGGCTCTTTTTTATTTTTTGTGGACAGAATCAGGTGCTTGGACAGTTAGACACTCAAGGCAATAAACCTGTGGAAGAACTCAACCTTTTAAAGCCATGTTTAAAAGAACCACCGACTATACCAGTCGCTGACTTGTGAGTAAAACATGAAGATTAAAGCTTGATGATTGATTCCTAGGAATTTTGAGTGCCGGTCTGAATACTTCTTGCCGTTCTCTCAGTTAAATCATGGGTGGGTAGCAGGTGCTTTGGTGTGGTTTATTGCTTCTTTTATATCAAACATCTATCGTCTCTATATCTCTCCTCCTTCTTTTCTTTGTGTCTTACTGGTAACACCTCTGATTTTCAGCACTTATATGACTGTTTGTATTACAAGTGCCATAAAAGTTTTACGAAAACTAAATGAAAACTCAATTAAATGGCTTAAATAATGTAGTGTAGGTCATCTGGTGTGTATGTAAGAAATACTTTTTGTTTGTTTGTTATTTATTTTTGTGTGTGTGTGGGGAGGGGGGGGTGTTAAAATTATTAGTTTTGCAATATAATCATAATAATGTATATATCATCCCCATTTAGATTTAAAAGGGTAGTTTTTCTCTTTGAAGTTTAAAAAAATGTTTTCCTTCTGTGTGTTTTTATCTTTATATATATATATTCTATGAATAGTCACATTTCATATCTTGAAGCATCTTAGATTTGATTTCCTTAAGACAGGAAACATTGCCAGATCCCATGAACACTAAAGGAAAAACTTCACATACAAACAGAGGAACTGAGCAGGGTGGCCTAGTATTTGATAGATACCGGACTTCAACACTGATGTGATCGAGAAGACAGAGAGAGACTGACTGACTGACTGACTGACTGACTGACTGACTACCTTGTGTCCACAGACAGCGAAAGATCTTGTCAGTATGTTAATGTTTTAGCGCCTCTAAATGGCTGCTTGCAATGTATGCTTCCCAGGAAGTTGAGGCTGTTTCAGAATGCTCTCAGGTCTGCTGGGGTAATAGTATAGATTGTGAAGCACACAGAGCTTGCTGTTGAGCAGGGATTTGTGCTATACAAATACTATCTATTATTATTATCATTATTGTTAAAAACTGACTGTTGACTGTCTGGCGACAGACCAGCTGAAAGAACTAAATATGATGACAAACTGATGGTCTGACTTCACACCCTCGGACTGAAGGATAGAACAGACATTCTAATTGACTTTCCCCCTTTTTGAAAAATAGAAACTAAAATTTCTCATATTCTCAGGAAACAGTTCAAGGAAGAAGCCCGGAGCCTTCTTCTCAATGGTGTGCAGTCAGCTTATAGGTCGCTGAAAAAATATCTGGAGGAGGTAAGATATATACATGAAGGATTTTGTGAACAAAACCCCCAAGACTTTGACACTCATCTCGTGGTAGATATTTGGCTACCTTGTTAAAATTACAAAGTTTTGTCTGACATTTTTGGCTGTTTTAATTTACTAAGACCGTGAGGTCAGGAACCGAATGTTCTATCTGCTCTATCAAATTCGAAAGAATATTTGGAGTCTTTATCAAGATTTATGGAAAAATGGTGATAAAAGCAGATAAAATGTACATTGCAGTTTCCACTGACTTTCAAGCTTTGAAAGTCACCAAACTTTTGACATCCATTTTTTCGATTATTTTACCTCTGACACCAGGCGACCTTAACTTCCTTCAATCACAAATGTCTTACTTATATATATATGCGAGATAGATGTAGATTTTTTTCATAAAAAACAAGGCAAATGGGCAGACTTTAAGCATATATACCAATAACTACATTTGCTAAAAAATTGACAAGCGCCTGATTCCACCATGCTGTGACACATACTCACGTGTTTCAGTTACTCAAGCTCAAACAAATTTGTCCATCCTCCAGGAGTACATCCCACAATGCCGAGCAAGCCCTGGTGTCTCGTCACTACCCAACGGTCAGCGCTGGTACCAGCAGTGCCTCGACTACCACCTCAGCTACGCAACCTCGCCTCAGGAAGTACACGATCTTGGCTTGCAAGAAGTGGCCAGAATTCAGAAACAAATTGTTGATGTCGCAAAACGGGAAGGTCTCACAACCGACATCTCCAAATTGAAACGAGAGATTATTGAAAGGCAGACTCTCTTTAAAACGAAGGTTTGAATTTTACTTAACCCCTTCGTCGCCTTATGACGTACCTGGAACGTTGAGAAAAAAACGCGTAATTTTTAGCGCCGTACCATGACATCACGGAAGTTGGCAAAATTTGTCGCTCCTGGTTGCCTATATGACGTTTTATTTATGTCGTGCTAATGACCTGGCTCTAATTCTTCTGTACAGAGTTTTAGCCACAAGCGCTACATAAATGTGTATTCAGGAATAAAAGATGCGCGTATCTGTATCAAATTTAGTAGTATTATTACTTTACTGCTAAGCTTGCAAGCGATCTATAAACACAGATCTAGGCTTGCTGGTGGCCGCTTGCTCTTATAAAACGTAAAAGTCTAGATGACTTTAAAAAGTAAAATAAATTCACTTTTTGACTTAGATTTGCAGGTTTTTCGAAATTATGAGTAAGGTGGGAGGAAATTGGGAATAAGAAAAGTGAGAAACGTGACAATCGAAGACTCGGTGTCCGAAATACATCATGAGTTCGCTAGATCTAGGTCTAGATAACACTGAGACATTAAGCTGCTGTCCTGGGAAATGAGCTCAGCTGAAAATCAGTGCTGACAGAAGGAATGCATTATACCCCTTGGCAATGAAAATGTTAACTTGTGGTGGTATCTGTGTGGCAACATGAGAAAACCAAGGACTAGAGTTGGGAAAAATCACTTCCTGAGTCAAGGGCATTGTCTAAATCTGTAGATTTTATAGGTTTACGGAAACTTTTACTTTTTCAAAATAGTGCACTATATTATATACACTTTACAATATTTTTAATAAATTTTTTTTTCAAAATTTTTAGTAAACGTGGGCAGTACACAAATTTGAATTCTTGTTTGTTGATTCAACAGTTTTGCTTCCCCTTTTTTTTTTCTTCTCAACTCAGGATGAAGCTCTTGACTTTGTGAAAGATATTTGCTACAACCGGATCAGACCTCAGTTGCCAAAGTACTTCAAAAATATCCCTGATATACCTTTGAAGTGAGTTTGAAGTTGATGTTCTGCCACTCGTGGAGATGCTGAATCATCTTATTTGTTCAATTAGGTGTGATTTTTCCATCTCTCTCTCTCTCTTGAACACGTCAGAAATTGTGAATTTTGAAAATGCATTCTTGAACTGCACAAATTGACATTGTTTGTATTTGTCTCTTTAAATAACATTTTAATAAATTTCTTTTCAAGGATTATATTAGTGCCTGACTACATTAAAGGCGTACCGCTAGGATTTTACCATGGAGGTACTCCTGATGGATCTCGGGAAGGAGCCTACAACCTCAATACTGAAGATCTCTCAAAATGGTAAGTGTTTGTCTACTTTGGGTTCACTTTAATCCAGAACACGTCACTAACTGACACAAGCACAAGAATAACTGCTCACAGCACGAATCTCGGACAGCAACTGAACTTTATTACTCACCCCACTAGTCGCTACTGCGCATGTCTTAAAGTGACGGGAGGTAGCTCCTTTAAAACAGGAATGGACAATAACCTTGTTATGTCCCATATACAACAGTAAGTAGTTTACACTTCTCAGTATTTAACTGAGTAACTCTGTAAGTGAACACTGTTAGTTATACGTGGGGACTGAAATTACCTTTTGGAGTAAACAAAATGTTACTGATTGGCAAACGAAAATATGTGCTGTCTAGCATGCACAAGACAAATCGGTAACTAAAACATTTACCGTCACTCAAACTTTACAGAGAATGATATACTCCCTGTATAGAGATGTGGAAAGGCATGAAATAATGTCAAGAAGCTATCTCAGGATAGGGCAGAGTGGAAGGTGGTCTTTACTCTGGTCCAGGGTGAGAAAGCTGACGATGATGATGATGATGATGATGATGATGATGATGATGATGATGATGATGATGATGATGATTGTGATAATGATGATGATGATAATGATGATGATGATGATGATGACAATAATGATGAAAGCCAACAATGATGTAAGCCAACAATGATGAAAGCCAACGATGATGATAATGATGATGATGATGATGATGATGATGATGATGATGATGATGATGATGATGATGATGATGATGATGATGATGATGACGGTGATGATGAAACTGCAGCAAGCCTTTTGTATCCCCAGCCTGCCATTCCTGCTTCCATGTTTGTCGCTGCATGAGGGCGAGCCAGGACACCACACACAGGTAGGCTACTGACCTCATGCGGCATGAGAGCCTAAATTTTGGGATTAGTTATTACTGTTGTATTGTAAAACACTCAGAGCCTGTGTACTTTAACCCTATCCGTACGCTCTGGGGTCATTTATACCCCCCGGGGTTGTATTCTTCACATTTTAGAATACTTCTAGTATGAAGATCTCTTTGAAACTTTCAGTATTTCTCAAAGAACCATTTGACAGACTGCTATGCAAAGCGTATAGATCAAACAAGTAAATTTCCTCTTTGGAAAGTGGTGGCACAGAGTTCCCCACGTCGTAAGGATACGATAGTAAAAACGATGTAAGGATAGGGTTAATTGGAGTTGAGCGCTATGTAAATGCCATATATTATTATTACAGCTTTCTCCTTCCCCAATCAATCCCTTTGTGAAATAGGGTCGGTTCATGGTTTACCGGGCACAGTTTTGGATCCCCAGGGACACGGAGTAGTGCTAGAATTAGTGGTCAGTTTCCTATAGTTAGAACTGCTTTGTTAATACTACTGTGTCTAACAGAAAAATGTGAGGCATCGTGGTGAAGCGTGCGCTCGTCAAAAGGACGAAATCCGAGAAATTGAAATCTTTTGGCCAGTTTAGAAATTTTTTTCAAATTTTTGTTTTTTTTGGCTCAACACTTTTTACATCCATTCAAAAACACTTCTATGTGTGGATTTTATGGACAAATCTTGATTAAAGGCACAACAAATTTTAATTTGCAGTTTCCAAGGACTCTTACGCTATGCGAGTCACCAAACTTTGGCGGTCATTTTCGCAAATTTTTCCCCTGAGCACCTGCTTATCGCCCACTGTTAAAATGTGGAGACGTGTAGTTCTCCTTGTGATCTCTTGCTGTTTTTTTCGTTCCCACTTCCAGTTTGCGCATGCAATGACGGCACACCACTTACCCAACTTCCGACGCTACACAGAGGAAAGCAAGTACTATCTTGCTCCAGGCAAATATGCCAAGCATACAGCTTATCTTGAAGTGAGAGATGTTTACTTTTTTAAATCTTGGTTTCTATTGTATTGCAACTGATTTTTTCATGTTTGTTTCATATATATTATGTAAGCTCAGTTATTTCTATTGACTCTTATTTTACATAGAATAGCCTTTAAAAAAATTTAAACCAAGCTTCATTTTCTTCGGTTTACATTAATTGTTATTCCCTGTCTTTATTCTTTTCTTGAGTAAAATTCCGTTTGAAGTAAGCTTATAAGCTATTAGTAATAGTATCAAGAGACTGCACCTTATTGGGTTAAGACTGGGTGACCACTATCTGCAAGGCTGCAGCTGATCAAGAAAAAGAAGACTTTTTTGCTTCCGAAAACTTGATAACCTTTCTCAGAATTAGCATTGCTCTTGTGTCTATTTTAAGCTGAGATGTTGACATAAAACGTTTGTACTAAAATAGAGAGACTATTTTTGACTATTTTTTGTTGTTGTTAATCAGCAGAGGGAAGTGCTAAACAAACTGACAAACTGTTAACTTTGTATGAAAGAGTTTCATAAATAAGCATGCCAATTTTGTCATTGGCTTTGAGTTTGAGTAGTTAAATTTTAGTTCGATAACATAGGATCTGAACTGTTTTTACTACATATCTGGGGAATGATTAAATTTGAAAATGATTTTTTAAAATGAAGATCTTCTTGGTTCAAGATGATTAAATACAAGTATATGGGAGCTATGAATTCCACTTTGACATGTTTGTCAATTACACTTTTCAAACACAATCATTCTATGCCGTTAACATTTTTGATGAATTTTGTGTTATTTTGTCTATTTCTCAGGGTTGGGGGCTGTATGTGGAGGCTCTTGGCGAGGAGATGGGCATGTATCTCGATAACTATGAGCTGTGAGTTTTTTTGTTTATTACTGATTATCAGCAGTTCTGAAACATTGACTTTCCACTGTTTTTCATCAGTTCTGACTTTATTTTTGTGTTGAATCTTAGTATACGGAAGGCTATTCCTTCATTGTAAGCATCACAAACTTCTCTATAACTCAGAAACTCCACTCCTGTTTAACTCCTTATCTATAGCGAGCTGCTCCCAGCGGCTCGCGGGGGCAACTACTCTGCCGGTCAGCTGCTGGCAGCGGCTGGGACTCATTCATTTACCACGACTTCCACGTCAAATTACGTTTCGGCACATGCTGAAAACAGGTCTCTTCTAGCTGGGAGTTCATTCATTAGATGAAGAACTATCAAAATAGGTTCGCTTGTTTTGATTTAATTTCCAATTTAGTGATGTATGTGTCACTTTTAGATTTCGCACCAAGAAGGGCCCCGGCATAGTGGGTTTATGCCTCTCGGAGATAAAGAGTTACCTTTTTACATGAAGTAAATACCAAACTGAGCAGGCAGAAATGAATAATCCAGTCTGTAAATATACAATTTGACTATGTAGGCCTATATTGATGAATTTACTGAAGTTTGGTAGATTATTGTTACAACTGTAAACAACTGGGAGATGCTGTGTTGAGACAGTTGAACTAGTGTGCGGTACACTAAGAGTTGAAATTGAACAATTTGAAAGTAGTGACAATACGAGTTTTCATTACAATGGTTACGAGCGTATAAGTCACCACTTTTACTTTAGGTATTATACTGTGATAACTACTCACGCTCACACAGTGGCTGTATACTGTATGGCACTTTTGTCTTTGTTTTTTTTATCGTCTTTATTTTTCAATGTAATTCTTTTTTTTCAACATTTTGCACTGCTGTCATATTTCTTGTCAGTTTATCAATCTGAAATTATGAATTCTTTTGATGCCACTGCTGGTGGGTGTGGTATCTTTTGAATGTACTCGATATCTGATTATTAATGATTCTGGATCAGTAACTGCTCAAACTTTTGCTTTGGAGGAAGCAAATCGCTTGGAAAGGATGGATTATAAAGTTGTCATTTGAGAATTTATAAAACATTGGTGTATTGAAAAAACAATAACCCAAAAACCAAAGTTCAGGGAAGACTACCGTACAGTGTAGCTTTTCTATAACGACTTTTGATATAGTGACATTGTAGGTAGGTCTTTACTCACCAGAGTTTTCTACTCGACTGGCCGTGTAGGACAGTCTGGTCAGGTGGTGTTTTTCATGTGAGCACTTCGCGGGTCCGTGCGAAGTCATGGTCATGTTAGCTGTGAGTGTTCGGAGAGTCACTACAACATCCTCTTTATAGCGACATGGTTCCCAGATCCTGATTTTTATCCTTATATATCATTAGTAAATTTTGGTTGCCGCTCTCTAATGACAACTCTCTATAACAACATTTTTTTCTGGTCCTGACGATGTCGTTATTGAGAAACTTCACTGTAATAAATATTTTAGTATACTATTATTTCCATGAATTATTCCTTTAAATTTGGTGCATACTGGATTATTGTTTTCTTTTTATGGCGTATTCTGAGTTAAATAGGCAATTAACCATCAACCCTTCTCTGTAAAAAGAAAAAGAACATTTGTACCTTCTCTGTAAAAAGAAAAAGAACATTTGGACACATAGTTGTTGTATTTTTGTTTCAATCAGGCTAGGCCGCTACGGCTCCGAAGTATTTCGAGCTGCCCGTATGGTTGTGGACACGGGCCTACACGCTTTTGGGTGAGTCAAGTGGTGAGCGGTTAATTTTTCTTGTTTTTAAATTTATTTTCATGCTCGTCTTTGATGACGCATTTGCAGCTTTCAGGTGTTCATTGTCAGGTGTGATGGTGGCTTGCATACTAACAGCCATACTGTAATAGTTTCATCTGCCGTGGAATGGTGCGGTTAGTTTTTATAGCACAGCAGTCTGAAAATGTTTGAGTTATAGCAACAAATTTTTTTCCGGAGAATGACAGCTACGGAGGAACAAGGAGGATGGAGAGGAGGGAGGAGGAGAAACAAAAATATGTTACCTACGATAGTTACCAAGGTCTCTAATTTCTCTTTCTCAGTTTATGATGGAGGTAGACCTACTATTGTTTATTGCTATTATAATGCAATTCGCTTAAACTGAAACCTGTGGAACAGCTGCATTTTCTTTGGTTTAGATGAGTTTTCGGTTAAGAAAAGTTTCTTAAATAGAAGTGAAAAAAGATAGGGGATTTTATTTACTTTCAGTTCAGCACCGCTGTTTTCAGATTAACCCTTCTTTGGTTTTAAGCAGTGTATGTATATTCACTGTATTTTGCTTTTTTCATATCCTTCGCTTATCAAATTGTGTGCTGTGAATCTGTCCCTCTACAGCTGGAGTCGAACCCAGGCCATTCAGTACATGTTGAACAACACGATGCTTGAGGAGTCTGGGGCAGCCAGGGAAATTGATCGCTACATCACTTGGCCAGCACAGGTGAGATGATATCTGAATACGATTAATTTAAGGATAGAGTACCCATTTGAATTGTCATTATCATCGTTATTGTCGTTGTCATTGTTGATTGTTATTATTATCACTATCATCATTGTATTGAGAAGTTCTTGCGGGTGCTTTGGGGGCACCACTTGTAGGTCCTACTTCTTTTCTTTTCCTCTATTGTTTTGGTCTCTCTGTCTGTCTGTCTGTCTTTTTTCTTTGAACTAAATGACCGTTAATGAGTCGATGTTCGTCTTTTTACTCAAACAAACAGAACAAACTCAAAACTTCTTGTGGGGCCTCTACATTTATCAGCTCATCAGTTTGTGTGTGTTTGTAAAATTGTTGATATACATGTGCTATGATATTGCACTTACTTAATGCAATGTTGTTGTAACTTTTGAGTTTTTTAAATGTGTTGTATAATTGTGACTCAAATTACCACATATAGGGCTATGCGGCCGTGGCTCCACCGCGGGCCACGTCGGCTTGCATTCAACAGCCAACTTAAAGGGCCCAATAAAAGTGGAAGTTTTCTTTTCATATTTTTTTCCCTTGGTCTCACTTTTCTGTATATCCTCATTCTTGTCCATGACAGCTATAATTACACAAGTATAATTTTAGAAAAGGCCACATCAAAGCTGTCTTTTTTGCGACTTGTTTTTTTTTGGTTTTTTTCTTGTGTCTAACTTCCATTTATGTATATCAAGAGTAATTCTTTTGTTTTTCAACTCTTCTTTGTCAATTCAAAGTCTTGTGCTTACAAGTATGGAGAATTAAAAATCTGGGAGATGAGGAGGCGAGCAGAAAAGGAATTAGGTGAGTCAATGTGCAAATTAGCAGAGCTTCAAATTCAAAACAAATTTTTCAAAATTCCTGTGCAAATTAGCAGAGCTTCAAATTCAAAACAAATTTTTAAAAATTCCTGTGCAAATTAGCAGAGCTTCAAATTCAAAACAAATTTTTAAAAATTCCTGTCATAAATGTGTGGCAAACTGGGGAAATTAGAAGCTCCTTAGAATAATGAAACATGTGAAGCTGATATTTCTTGGGCTGTTAAGCATTTTTTATCTTGCTGCTCAACAACTTTTAGGTCTATTTAAAATGGCCACATTTTTGGTGTGGTTTTTACGGAAAAACATTGATTATGGGTGCAAAAATCTTTTACCCTTACCTCACTCAATTGCAAGTATCTTGACTTCTATTCAAGACAGATGGGCATTTTTTTCATAAAAAGCAAGACAAATAAACAAGCTTTCTTTAAGATTATTGCCTACCAATAGTTCCATATGTCTCATAAATGACAAGCGCCCAATTCCACTGTGTCATGACACAAATATAGAAGGTCTGTTGTTGATTTTTGATCCACAGGAATGGACTTTGACATCCGGGAGTTTCACTATCGCCTTTTGTCGTGCGGGGCCGTGCCACTTACAGAACTGGAAGAAATTGTTAACCAGTTCATTGCAGAGACAAAGATGTGAATGGCAGTATCAGCTTCTGCAACTAAAATAACCACACCAACATTAACTGCTTTATGATATATAAGGTATAAAAGAGGGAAAGGAAAAGAGCCGCTCTGATGTCTAGAATAAGAGGAAAGTTGTAGGGTACCATTAGGATATTAAGTGGAAATTCAATGTGTATGCACACACACACACACATGCAGGTGCGTGTGCACGTGCATACATACACACTCATATACACAAACACACACATCTAGTGTACACACACACACACACACACACACACACACACACACTCACACACACACGCACACATACATACACACACACACATACATACAATCACGCACTCATACACACAGACACACACACATGCACCACATACATACTCATAAAATCGCAACAGAGTACAAATGACAGCCCTTTCATTGTAGCTTACTCGTTGCAGTCGGCATTTTCTCCTAAAAGCCTACATTTTTACTGTCATTAAACAGTCAGACGTGGCTAGAGTGGGACTTTCTGTTCCCGAAGAAAAATCCCACTGCTGGCAAGTTCCCAATATAGGAGTGCAAATGGGAATTACTGAAAAATCACACACTACACGCTCTCCTCTTCTTTTACTGTCTTTTTGGCCTAGCCTAGGCCTAGGGCTATGGGACATCACTTTTGGAGTGGCTCACATAACGCGTCTCTCTGCACCATCTCTCTCTGCCGCCTGCCCCACCTCACTCATCACTGGACTGGCCAATCACAACGCGGCACTGCTGACTGCCTGTTTGAAGCCCACCTACAGCCCCCCACCCCTCAACCTCCTTCCCCCAGCTAGAGCTTGCTCGATCTCTCCCACTGTATCCAAGTTCGAGCCTTTCCGAGTCCCATTAAACCCAAGCACAGTTAATTAAGTTTACATAGACAAAAATAGGGGATTCCGGTAACGTCCCGCTGTAGGGATGGTCCCGCTGTAGGGATGGTCCCGCTGCAGTGAGTGACGCTATAGTCATGTTCTACTATAACAGACCATGAAAAGCAGGCCAGTACAGCAAGAATACTGTCGTCTGTTGTGATGGAACAGGGCGTGATTACTTTATACTTTATACTACTGTTTATGGGAGAGGGTGCGGTCATGGAGCAGTTAGTGCACTTGTCTCTGAAGTGGAAAGTCCGGGTGGGTACCTGACTTCGAGTTGGGGAAGTAAAGGCGGCGTGGAGAGGAACTGGCCACCCTACCACACTATGCCGAAGGTCCAGGAAGTTGTCTCATTGACAAGGCAATCCCCAATGTCCGGATAGGATGCGGGGACAACTTTAAATTTACAGTTTATGGGAGACATGATGATGAAATCGGTCCTTGCCAAGATAATAAAATGAAAGAAAAGGATTTTTATGGCCTTTGGGCAATTTTGTGCGGGTTTTTTTTGGCTGAACTTCTTGTATGTCCATTTTAAAACACATTTCCATGTGAATTTTACTCCAGAAATTTTAATTAAAAGCACTTAATATGTAAATTTTCAGTTTTTATGGACTCTCAAGCTATGAAAGTTACCAAACTTTGGCTGCCATTTCTCACTAATTTTACCTCCGACACCAGGCTACCCCCACCTCCTTCAATCATAAATATCTCGACTTCTATTCAAGACAGATGGGTATACATGTACCTTTCATCAAAAGCAAGACAAATGAACAAGCTTTATGATTGTGTATACATGACCCCATATATCCTTAAATTGATGAGTGCATGAATTCACCACATCGTGATACATATATTTTTTAAAATATCTTCTGTTCTGACACTTGCTTCTTGTTCTTATGGATCAGTCTTGGCTTGTCTATAAACTGTACACATGCACATACACAGCCCGCAGATTGGTTTCTTACAATTACTTTAATTGATCAGTAGGATTTAATTACAGTATATGGGAAGATGGGGGAATTCCACACCCGGGGTAATTCCACACCCCCACTTACAGCCCTTAGAACCAACAGAAATCTGTTTGACATCCAGCTTTAATAATTTGCTTCTGTCTGCCATGTTTTATTTTTCAATTCAGCTTTAATTTCTTGTTTGTCAGTCTTTTTATTTTCATTTTAGCATGTGTGCTCATGTGGGTGTGGAATTGCCCGCTATATTAAATTTTAAATTAAGTTGAAAAATGGAATAATGAGGATGGTGATATCATAGAATTCATATTATGTTTTGTTTCCTAACTTATCAGACCCAAAGTAAAACTGTAGACTTTGAGGATGTGCCCCCTTTTTACATAAAGTAGCTTCTATAACTTGTCTCACAATCCAATTGAAAAGTATGGTGTGGAATTCCCCCCATGTTACTGTACTATGTGGAGCTAAATTTTTTTATTAATTGTATTTTGCTAATTTTCCAGTTATAGATGGGAAAATTGGGATGAATTTTTAAATTTTATACTTTCCACTTTCAAAATATATCTGGTATCATGTATGCAGCAGACTTTTTTTTGATGAAGGCATCCATTCAGGTATCTCAGGTAGGGAAGTTGATCTTCCCTCAATAAACAGGTAGGCCTGATTAAACAGAGTGCTACAAAAAGTGTCTACCGGTCATCATCATCCTGTGCCAACATTGGCGATCATGGTTTCCCATTCATTCCTTTGCTCGGATGCCCTCAAAAAAGCTACGTTTCCCTGATCTTTCCCTGTTACCCATTTGTTTAGGTTCCCTTAGTATGTTGTTCTGGGCCACAGAATTCTACACTTAAGTGTAGAATTCTGTGTTCTGGGCCTACCCCTGCTTCGCTTGCCCCCAATTTTGCCAGTGAGAGCTAGATGTTCAAGACCCTTATGTCTATTCAGGTGTCTACTGGTATTTACTTTAATTTCATGACTGTGCAGAAAGATTGGGATCTCAGGTTTGTTTTATTTTTATGGATATGATGAATGCTGATTTTGTTAGTGACTGTACTAAATGGCACCAATTATGTCCCGGTGTTTGGTGGCAACATTGTTCATGTCACACAAGTTTAGATTTCCTTCCTTCCCCGATTGTTTTGAGGGGTTGAAAATCTATAAATATACCATGGAGTCCACTTAGTCCAAACTCAGTTACGGTGTAACCTGGATAGATCGAATACTGACGACTCGAAATCACGCATCCGTCGAACTGTGCCTTCAGTCCCGTTTTTTCCCCCCTTCTTTATCTTTGTAAGAAGTCCTTCGAACTACGGATCCCTCGAACTACAGAGGAACTACAGAGGCTGGTCCTGACGAATTCGAGCTATCTGTGTTATACGTATACTGAAATTTGAAAACAGCGGTAAATAAAAAGAGAATAGGTTCCTCAATTTTTTTTTACTTCGCTATGTCTGTAGTTATACGAAAATATAGCTAAACAGAAGAAAATCAGGCAATCCCACAGAGTTTGGTTTAGTGGACTTCCCTTTATCTATGTGATGGATAACCAGAAAAGTGTCTTTGGAGACCTTTTTTATTTAATAAGGTGCTTGTAAAAATATAAAGAATAATACGTTATTTTAGTTTCAGCATTGTTACTGACTGCTATGGTGATTGAAATTTTGTATTGATTTTTACTTGTCTTAGAAACTACAACTTGTGCCATATAGGGTCCTGAAGACAAATTTATAATACATATTTTCTGTGAATATTTAAACTTTTGTTTGCTGTTGATGATTGTTGGTGGTTGGCAATGCTCTGGTGTGGTTTGCTAGTTCTTTCCGATCCAATGTCTATAATCCATATCTCTCCTTCTTTTTTGTGTTTGTTACTCTCTTGTAACACCTCTAATCTTCGG